TCCGTGATCCGGTCCGTGATCCGGTCCGTGATCCGATCCGTGATCCGATCCGGTCCGATCCAGGTTTTGTCGACGCCGTGTCCAAAGGAAATTTCTTTTCTACTTAGCGTCTTTTCAAAGTGTAAATACAAATTGACGGTCCAAACGCGGAAAAGCAACTTCCATGTCGCTTACATAATTTAATATATTTTCCAGGTAGGAAAATCAAGTAATTTAAATAAAGTATATTTTATTCTATGATGAAATTACCCTGCTAAAATGTGTTTCTTCCTATTGTACTCAATAATGAGCCGAACTGGGAAGGGGTTCCATTCATGATGTCATCCCCTAAAACTACCCGCTTCAACGTCATCCAATCTATTTTTATCTTTTCGCCCCGATAATGTCATCTTCCGAAAAGGGAATTTACGTCACATTATGGTAAAAGCTAATGATGTCATGAACGCCCTTACACCCCTTCGCTATAGCTAACGCCCCTGCACCCCGTTGAAAGAGACTTCACGTCACTCCAACGGAGTATTAGTACCCCAGCACCCTTACACCCCTACGTATGCGCCGTGACGCAGAACTCCTTCTCTATAACTACTGTTTTGTTATGTTTTTCTTACCACTTCGTCCAAGTATACACTTCTTTCTATAAGGAGCCAGTTGTCTCCCTGATCTCCTGACAAGGAAACAACTTTATTATTGCCACTGTACACATTGAGAATTCCAGCTGATGCCCCAGACATATGGTAGTAAAATGAAAGACAAGCCTGATTTCCTTGACTCGGAACAGTGAAGAAAAGTTTTGCACTTTCTCCAGGTTTTCTAGGGGAAGACGCTTCGATGTACATATACTTTCCTGAGGAAAAAAAAGTCAATATTATTATTGTCAAAGAGAAAAAGTTTTTGATTGGTTGGCACTTCTGAATCGGTTCAGTGATCGATCTCTTTTTTTTTTATATTACGCAGGTTAGTACACATCCATCATCATCCGCCCACGAGTCTGCTCATAGAGCACATTTACATAAGTTGTGTGAGTGAGATCTGTTTGTGATTGTAGATCAGTATTGTGAAATACTGTAGTGGTTTATATAGCATACTTTTACGTGTACCTCAAGGCCAAGTCATGTAATGTGGGCAACCTATCCCAGAAAAAAATATTTCACTGCAAGTTGACAAGCGTCGTCGTGCATATTACACACATGTTGCAAATTACCTTAACAGGTTTTGAGAGGTAGAGATCAGTTTCTCTGTGCTTAGTGAGGAACAACTTGCAAAATGGAACGCCACAGTTTCAACTTAGAATGCAACATTGTTGCGCGACAGGTTGATATAAAATATTGCCCTTACTACCTGGCCCTGAAACACTAATAACAAACACATTATCATAAATGGCAATTGATGTGAGATTGTTGGATGTGCCTGAGACTATGACACAATCACGAATTTTATTTAAGCAATGGACCACTCTTTCTATGGGTTTACTGGTATAATAAGCCACTCAGGATGTTGGGAGAATGCGAGAAAAGCTTGTAAGTCACAAGGTGTTAGGCGAGTAAGTGGTTTATTGCACCGATAAACAAGTAATTGTGATCAAGTTGACGGTGATCAAGTTGCTTATTCTCATCAAATTCATGAGATGACGGGACAAACCAATTACAGTGACTGAAAGAATGAAAGCACAGGCTCGGCGCCGGACACGAAATCCGCAGAGCAAGGCGACGAAAACATTTCACACTAAGAAAGTTTTAAGAAAGGAAGGGAAACGGTTATCGATGAAAGGCAAAAAGTGTATTAATTAACTCAAAAGTACTCTGACGGGGAAATGCAGGGATTCTTAGGTGGAATTGGTCATCGCGAAAGTAAAAGGCTGTGCGAAAAGTGTGCAAGTAGTCCAAAATTCAAGTGCTTAGCGAAGTGATTCAACGCAGAGTTAAACGATAACTTTCCAAAGTTTTGCAAATGGAATAAAGGTTAGTTATACAAACACTGTTTCCGAAATTTACTCAGAATTTATTTATTTATGCCGAAGGCTATGAAGTCCGTGTTTCTCTGTATTTTGTTAAATAAAAACTATTGCTTGAAAGCTAAGCTTATGGAAACCAAATTCATTTATTGTGTTATGCATACATGCATTGAGTTTAAACTCAAAATGTCTTATAGAAAGAAATATTTTTCCTGCTTTTTTGACAACTCAAGTTGATCAGTCAAGCCCAGCTGACTTCGTCCTCCACAGACGGTGGAAAGCACCGATTAAAGGGTTTAAAACTTCCTTAATTCTAATCTCGAGGGTAACCGGAGTTTTGCCGTGGAAAAAAGATAAAGCTTTATATGACAACCAACTTTTTATTCCTTGCAAATTTCCATGTATATGTTGAATGAAAAGATGTTCGTGTTATGATATCTCAACTAGTGAAAGGCAAAACTATTTATTACATTTGTTATCGCTAAAGTTCCGAGTCGTCTAGTTCCCGCGTAGAGCTGTCACTAGATCGGGAACCGTGGTATACCGGTACAATAAAACATAGGTGAAGCAACTCTATTGACCAATCAGAGCGTGCGTAGTATCTCAGTTATTTGAGAGGTTAAGCATGACGTCTACAGCAAACGGCAAAAATGAAACTTTTGCCGTCTCTCTTCAGCTGTTTGTACAGTAGAGTGAAATTATTTGTATTTGCAATGAATAGTAGGAGACGTTATTCCACTTTTGTGTGCTTTGTTTATGGATTAGAAGAAAATAACTCAAAATCAGAAGTTATCTTTGCCGTTTGCCGTCTGCTGTTATCGTCATGCTTAACCTCTCTATTTTATAAAATAATATCTGACATGGGAGTGATCCAGAAACAACCATTCCAAGGCCGTTGTGTGGTATATTTGATTTTTACCTTGAAAGAGATGCCCTTCAATTACGCTTTTGTCGATCTCCCTTTCTTTATATTTCAAGCAGTCAAAATTCTCTTACCGGCGTAGTAAGACAAATAAATCATTCAAATGAAGAAGCCGGGTAGTATTTTGGTTTTTGTTTGCCTTATTACATTTTATATAAACACTTGGATGATTATAATTATTAGAAAATAAATATTCGTACCTAATGCAGAAGATGAATGGTTCTGTGCTGATTCAGTGGGAGGAGCGTTCATGTTTGTTGATAACCACGATATAAAGTTTCGCACTTTGGCGTATACCCCATACTTATTCGGAAGGGCACATCCTTCACCCCAGCTGGTGACTCCCTCGAGATACCACGTACCATCAAACTCGCACACCAGGGGCCCACCACTATCACCTTGGCAGGCATCAATAGTTCCTTCATCTAGACCAGCACAGAGCATGGAATCGTCGATTGCATCAGGATAGGCACTATCGCAACGTTCTTTTGACACCAGTGGCACAGATGCTTGCATCAGTGTATTTGGTGAGGGGCCTCCAGAATATAAAGCTCCCCAACCAGTTGTCCAGCATTTTTTGTCAAGGTTGTCAAAAGGAAGGTCATGGTCGGTATCTGGCAAACAAACTAGACCAACTCCTTCATCAAGTTCAGCAGGACTAACGAGTTTAAGCAGCGCAATGTCATTGCTTTCTCGAAGAGGAGTGTAGTAATTCTCATGCATTTTGATTTCTGCAACATCGATGTCTTGCTCTGTTCCAACACTACCATTTGTTCTGTAGTGGGCCCCTAGTCTGAAACAGAACGTACATATCGATTGTAAAAACTCTTATACTTGGGGTTCTTTTAATTAATTCGATTTTGGTAATAAAAAATGACGTGATTTAGTTTGGCAGATTATTAAGTACTTTTGGTTGAAAAGGTAGATTTCACACGCCAGATAGAAGCGAATTACGCAATAAAATTATGTGTTTGTTTAAAGAAAGAAACCTTGAAATTAATTCTATAATTTTTCACAGTCTTCTTTCCTCCGCCAGCTTATTATCTTCCTTTTGTACGACACCATTATCGTCGTCGTCGTTATTATTACTATTATTTTTTTATTTCCTAACATTTTTTTTATCTTGCATTCTCAGCGTCTGGAAAGCCAATAAGAATTATGTTGAAAGCTACCTTATCTTAACACCAGACGGCGTTAGTCCAACCAAACAATGAGATGCTGTCACCACCCAATAACGATCCACTATTGAACCACCACAAAACTGACGTCCAAACTCGTCTGTCAACATCACCTGCCATGGCCAGCTGTTGACAGGTGCAACTGTACCACCCACAATTCGAGTCGCGCTTGGTCGGAAGCCGCAAGAAACTAAAATCAAAGAATAAACAAATTTACAAAACGTGCTTCTAAATTAGACAATATGTTTCTTAAAAATCATTTACAGCATCTTCTTAGCAAATAATGGCCAAGCTATCTTGAACGAGACGCCCTTTTACGGTTTTATTTTGCAAATTTAGAGTAAAACGATTTCTTAATTAAATTTCACCTAACAAGTTTCCTTAAAAATTATCTCTTGATTGCAAAGTACATTAAAATGCCAGTTACAAGATTATTCTATTTCAACTTCAATGATTCCGTCTTGACACGGTTTGGTTGTTAAGCTGTGAAACAGACAATAAACTGGTGGCCATATTTTATCGCACAAAGAAACTAAATCACTCTTCGTATAATATAAAAACTTATTATGGAAATCTTAGTTTATGTTTGTGTCCTTTGAGGTCACAAAGTTGCTAAAATTGTATTTACGGTACACTTTTTTACCTGGAGTCACGCATCATGTAATCAAGGAGAACGAGATAGTTATTGTAATCAAGGCTTGTCTTCTAGAACTAAGTTGCTAAAAATGCTGGACCTCGTCTCCTATTTCTCGTGTATAATAACAATTACTACATGTATATGCAAGAGTGCCTCATACTACACAAATTCCAAACTGTGATCTGAAATGAACTTTAGCATAGACCCTGCGATGCGTCTATTTCCTCGTACCTTCCTTAGTAGTAGTAACGCTTTCTAAACTCTTGTATGGTTGTCCAGTGCTGTCAACGCCAAATACACTCACAACGTACATTGTAGAGGGCCACAGTCCTTTAATAACTGCACTTGTAGCGTTTTCGGAAACAGTTTCTGCGGTCAATATGGTGCCCTGCATACTCTTTACTTCAACTACGTAAAACTTTGCGTGATGATTAACGACTGTATCGAGGCTCATCCATTGAAGGGTAAGTCTGGTGGGACTGTGGTGGAAGATTGAAACATTCCATCCCGAAACCGGTATGGCTGGGGAAGTTAAAAAAAGCAAAGTAATTTAAAGCGTAATAAATTTCCTTTAATGAACAAAAAATGTAAATTAATTGTCCTAGAGGTAGAAGCAACAGCAGCAGAAGCAGTAGCAGTAGCAGTGGCAGTGGCAGTGGCAGTGGCAGTGGCAGTGGCAATGGCGCTGGCAGTGGAGGCAGTAGCGGTAGCGATAGCATTAGCAGTAGTAGTAGCACTAGCAGCAGCAGCAGTAGCAGTAGCGGTAACAGTAGCGGCAGCAGTAGCAGTTGTAGCAGCAGCAGTAGTGGTAGTAGCAGCATTAGCAGTAGTAGCAGTAGCAGCAGCAACAGTAGCAGTAGCAGTAGCAGTAGCAGTAGCAGTAGCAGTAGCAGTAGCAGTAGCAGCAGCAGTAGCGGTAGCAGTGGCAGTGGCAGCGGCGGCGGCGGTGGCTGCGGCAGCAGCGTCAGCGGCGGCGGCACTGGCAGTGAAAGTGAAATTTGCAGAGGTAGTAGTTGCAGTGTTAGAAGTGGCTGTAGTGATATTAGTAGTAATATTGAAATTAGTGGTAGTCATAGCCACAACAGAAGCTGAGGCATACACAAGCAGTAGTAGCAAAGGAACGACAGCATTTACAGAGTTTATTACAAACACACCTGACTCTCGACCCCTTTTTAAAATAGCGAACTTCATCATGATTGTGTTGCCTGGTGTTTCTGTATATGCTTGGATGGAGATGATATTTGAAAGACCAAAAGAGACATGTGCTAGAACCTCTCGAGAAAATGGCACACACCCAGGGTGATAGAGAAGTCCAGTGCCATTTCCATCAATAATCTTGACAAATTCACTGTAAAGATAAGCATGGTTAGGAACTTATGTACTGACATGCTGTGCTCACAGTTGTTGTTAAAACGCGGCTTTCTTACTTGAAGTGGTCTCCCTTACTTTCTTTTAATTAAGTAATTATAAATAAATTAGTTAACTGATTAAATAATGTACTCTTGGAGTTTAAACCTAACTTTCACAAGGCTAAAAGCATACATTTAAAGAGAAAAAAGGAAACAATAAAGACGTTTTCGACATTATGTCATCTACACGTGATTTGATAGCAGTATTAAAAGCATTGGTAATTTTCGAGAGCTTAAAAACAAAAACAATGCAGTCATTAAATCGTTAAAGCGGTCACTGTCGCAGCTTAAACAGAACCTCTTTATTGCAGAGTTTCGCGAGAGCCGATTCAAACGGGGTTTTATAATGGTTGTAATAACCAGAGTTAAATTGCTCGCTCAGAAGAGGAACTTTCACCGTATATTACTTTAAGCAGCTAGCTAAAACTATATATTTCATGAATAAAGTATTCTTCAATGGAAATTTTTTTGATTAATTATATGAGTAAGTGTCCACTCTTACAGTCTATTTCTGGACCATGTTTCAAGACTGCTGGTACGAAATACAAATGAAACAATAACGTTATCCACAAGCCATAGACTTAACGGCTGCATGGCATGATAGGATAAATTATTGGCAAGCCTTAAATTATTGTTTACTGCTTGCCAAATATTGCATTTTCTGCACAAGCCTTCGTGGATGTGTTTCAGATTTTCCCACGCAGAAAACCCTAAATTTTAAAAGAGATGGCGACTGCAAATTAAGAAAAGGGCTTCTGAAATATTATCGCACGTAAGCTGTTTTACTCCTAATAATATATATGAAAAAAATTACTCGATTCTAATTGGCTGAGAGCAGTGCAGTTCAAGTGTAACACTAGTGCAAAAAGTGTAACACTAGTGCAAAAAGTGTAACACTAGTGCAAAAAGTGTAACACTAGTGCAAAAAGTGTAAACCTCGTAAACCTTTATTATGATTGGCTGAAAGAAAATAGGATATTTTCTAAGCCAATGATATCACGTAAAATGACGACGAAAATTTAGAGCGGAAACTCTGAAAAACGTTTTCTCGAATGAGAGAAAATGGCTTCAAGAAAGATCGTCCGGCATGTCCTCCACGCGAATTTGTTTTCATGTTTATATGAAGCGGCTCGTGCAATTTCAGATTTTTTAAAAAACTCACTCGTGCAAATTAATGCCAAATTGAACTCGAAACCCTATGATTACCTATACCAATTCTACTGATGTATATGTTATATTAATGTTTAATTTGATATTTATTGTTTAGCTGTAGCCATAACACGATGTGTTGAAAAAGGAAAGAAGCAGAAAAAAAAGGAAATATCAAATGTTTACAAAAAAGAAATCTCTAGGTTAAAATTTATTTGAAACTTTTGCATTATGTCTGCGATGTGTTGTGCGTTATACCGCTCTAAAATTGTACTTGCTTTACCAAGCGTAAGTAATGCAAGTATTATATGGTATGCAGAGTATGCTAATGAAAAAAAATATTTAGTAAGTAGTATAAGAATTATATAGTAATATAAAGTGGGCTAATTTAAAAAAAAATCATATTGTAAGTTGTGTTAACGGACGTAGCGCTGGGGATTTATTGTAATTAGGGGTAGCTTTCCCTCTTCACATATTTCTCGTATCTTTCTTCAAGAAAGATGAAACTGCTACAGGCATAGGGACCTCCGTTTGATCCCAGGTGCCTTTACGATGACTTTACTAATATACCTGCAATCGTCAAGATTTATTTCTTGAACGGCGATGAAAGCGACGGCTGCAGGGATACCAGCACTGTGTATTGTCCAGTTACATCGGATAAGATCGTTACTCGTAGATTTTAACGCTATTTGGCCAAAGGTCGCATTGAAAGAGACGAAGCAGCCTTAAAAGAAGAAAAGAAATAACGATTTAGCTATTTAGAAGGAAAGTATTTCTGATGTGATAATCAAACAGTATTAGAATTGCAAAAAAAGGCTAAGGAAATATAACGTAAGGACGAATGGTCATGAATTCCCTTCAAGCAGAGCGAATTCAGGGCAGTTGTTTGTCAGAATGCAAGAGTTTAAAGCAAATCAGGCTCAAAGGGAATAAAAATAACAATTCGCTATCTATCTTCAAATATGCTTTTATATTAACAGCTTCCTAAACTTTTAGGAATGTACGTCGTAATTTCATTTTGATATTTTTAACGTTTCAATTAACTGACCAAAACAATTTTACGTACCAGGGACCCACTTTTTTGGAGGGTTGGTTAGGTAGGATTCTGGCGGAGGCGCGGAGGGGGCTAATTAAGAGTTCACTGGTCTCCCGACAGAGGTGGGGGGCTACCTGAGTGGCCATGGGACCCCTGACAGACGTGGGTGGACTACCGACTTAAGAGGCCATGGGTCTCCCGACAGGGTTGGGGAGCTACTCAATAGACTTTGGGTCTCCTGACAGAGGTGGGAGGTACTTAAAAGGCCATGGGTCTGTACTGTCTGCTTCTCAAAAAATCGTTGCGGTGATGTGATCGTCACTCACGACTGATAAAATTTCAGCGAACTGTATCCTCTGTACTAAAGGTGGTTAATGACACTGTACTCTGTGCGTCTGCAGGAGGATAGACCGATAAATTTGCAACACATCCACACTTCTTTGTAGCTATAAAATTCCACAGTTGGTAGCAAAGTTAGTAGCACAGTAACCCTTTTCTATGCAGTTATAACGACCATCCGAAAGCAGAGCCCTGATACTAGCGTTCACTTGTCATTAGAAACAGTAGAATTTAGGTGAGCCGGAAGACAGTAAATAGCACTGTTTTAATGCGATCATAGTTAATAGGTGGAATTGGTTATGAAACCTGGCAAAGTTCTCTGTTGGATGCTTTTTAATGGCTATTTTTGGGGTTGACCCTGCACAAAATCTGGCAAACTACAAAAGGTGATTATGTGCGCTCATATAACTAACCAATAGAAGCATTGCGATTATGCATGATATAAACAAAAACAGTTGTGTAAAAACATACCTGTGGTAACGTAACTGAAATCTGACCAAGGTCCTTCTCCTTTGAAAGTAAAAGCGGTCACTGCAACTTGGTATTGGTGAGCTGGTTTCAGTCCCTTTAAAGTAAAATTTGTAGCGGAAAGACCAAGAGCATAGGCGCTTTTAAATGAAGAATCATCTTGGTTTTCTCTAAAGTAGATTATGTACCCTAGGAGGATACCATTGGCGTATTGCGGGGGTAGAGGGTTCCACTCCACCAGAAGGTCGGATGTAAACTCAAGGCTTGTCACTCTAACATCACTTGGCGCTCTACCAGGAACTAAAAACAAAGTAAATAGAACTTAAGGTTTATTGCTCCCACAGTTGTTTTAGCATTTCGCATTCGACATTTCTAAATATTTCTCACCTCCTTCGTCGGTATTAGCCACGACCTCTGCACTTTCAAACGGTGTCCCATCGACATTCACGGCTACAACAGCAACTTCATACTCTCTGGACCCTTCAAGGTCCCTGATCTCCAATGCCGTCACATTTCCAGCCGCCATTTCGCTAATTGACTCGCTACTGCTGTTAATCTTTCTGGCAAGGGCAAAATAAAATCGAATTCCACCATTGAGAAGACTGGCTGGGCTGCTCCAACTTACTGCGATACTGCTTGCTGTTTTGTTTACGACAGTTACATTCCAGTCAGCCAGAATGGAAGCTACAGCGTGTAATAAATAAATAATAATTTGTAAATCAAATAAATCAGAACTTTGTCGCCTCACAATAACAACTATCAACTAAACGAAAAACTCTACATGGCTACATTAGGTATAAAGAAAGTGTCTACAAAAACAATGGTTGTGTAAACTGCAATTATTACAACTGCATGTCTAACTAGCTGGTTCAAACCTTTATTCCAAACGGCTTTTTTTGAAGGCTTGTATTAAGCTAAGTTGCATACAAAGTGAATGGTTTGTAACTCTCCATTAGAAAAACTTTCTCCATGTGATCCTTTCACGTTTTATTTTACTTTCACAGCAACCCAATTTGGCCTGAAAGGATCGAGGACCAGCGCGAAAATCAGTGGCAATCATGTGGCAAAATTCATTTTTTAAAAAACTTCTATCAAAGGGTGAAAACCAGCCCTGCGTTTGTATATGAAAAGTGCTCTTCTTCTTTTCCTTACCTGAATCGAGAGGTTGCTTCATTGTGCCGTAATCAATCTTGACAGAGCTCCAGCTGTCGATAATAGAGACTTGTATGGTGATATTTTTGGATTCTCCAAACGAGACATGCTGGAAATTCTTGGACATGAAACTCCCTCCATATAGAGCAAATATCTCGGTCCCATTTCCGTCAAACATTTTTACGTATTCACTGCAGAAAAATATTTTTAAAATGTGAATATTAGTTTATGTCTCTAAATGTTATCATCGTTTATACATAGCATAAGCTACTGTAACCTCTTTTCTCTAGCCTCTTGCTCCTCTACATGATCGAATTGACTAAAAAGGAGCCACAATCGTAATCCGCAGTACTTGGGTAGTTTTCTCAAAGCTGAAAGCGACTTCGATCAACAGACTATCAAGGTAAGAGAGTGAATCCCCCATGAATGCCTTACACCCAAGGTAATCCCTCATAAGTTATTTTTTGGAAGCGGTGCCAAGTTCTTCGGCAGATTTTACCTCGCGCTCTTCTTCGGTGTTTTCGTGGAGGATTTGTTTACGTTTTGTTTAAAAAGCAAAGGAAAATCTCCAGCAGCACAGAATAAAATGAGCTTCGGCCCTCGCTAGAGACAGATCCTCCAACTCAAAAAATAAAAACTGAATATACGGCAGAAAAATGAAGAGCCAAACGAGACCAAGACAAGCGAACGCCCGAACACAACGCAACTCAACGAACAGATGGTATAGAAAGTTGCGGACAGACGCTCCCCGCCCAAACGACAACAAAATAAAGGGAGTTTAAGGACAACGTCGATTGAAAAATGCATTATACGTCAAGGTATATAACTCTCAGAACTATCCCAAACAGAACATGTAAGACTGCGTCAAAATTCGAAAGCATTTTGCCTGTGGTGGTTCACTAGAATATACACAGAAAGTTGTCACTTCACACTGTTGTCTTGTAGATAACGACAAAGAAATGTACCAAGGGTTACAGCGCACGTAGTACGGCCATTGTAATCGTTGCCGTTGCCGTTGCCATTGCTGTTGTGGTTTGCTTGTTTTTAAACTCCCTAAAACCGAAAGAACGACAAACGGATGAACAACCGTCTGAAACATGCACAAAGTAAATGAAAGCTCAGTCGAACAGAAAGACGTACGAGAGCGTAGGAAAATATCTGCACTATAAAACGTCCTTTGAAAATCAAAACGTTTAAAACGGTCTTTTCACCACATTTCCTGCCATCTCCGTTGGTCTACGGTTGTTTCGAGAAAGTTGCTTTTTCGCCCACGCATCGCGCAAGTGACAAACTAGGAAGAACTGGATACCACGTCTTAAAATAACTTACTTGGCGAATTACTTTAGGTATAAGGTCTATAAAGGAGATTAAATCCCCTTCGTTGATCTTCTCTTGCTTCGATCCAGTAAAACAGTACACAGAGTTTACTGGACGAAAACTAGGAGCAAACTATGGCCTTGACAGATTCTTACGCTGAAGTTCGCCTATGATTAACCAACACCATATCGCCAAAGTAAATCAGCAACGTACCTGCTGTTCTCACGTAAGTTCATTTGGTGGATCGAAACTATGGCAACTGCCTGCAATATCCCAGCATCCTCTAGTATCCAATTACAGTATGGGTCAAATTTACTTGTGTAGCTGATATCCAATCTCCCAAATGATTGGTTCACTTTTTCTGTACACTCTAAACGAAATAAGAATATATGCATATATATATTTACTACATAAATTGAATGCATTTCGTTCGTTGTGCAAGCAGGCTTTAATTTAATTTATTTTGTATCTGAACTGAAAGGGAAGAAGTTCCCATCTATAAAGGTATTATCTAAGGAGCGCTTGCTTCACGAAAATACACCTCACAGAATTGTACGCGTAATGATGTATATGTGCAAGGAAAAAGCATATCATTCCTTATACTGTGCACATTTGTCGCCTTATTACACCTTGTAGTAAATCCAGAACAAACGCTAAAAATCTGTACTGTTTTGTGTAAGGAAAGTTTTGGTATATGCAGCTTAATCTGGATTGCTTTCGAAGACGTCAGGTAATCTTAAAGTGGGCTCGCAAACCGTGACGACACAGAGAGTCTGCAAGGTGCATTTTCACACTAATATCGAACAAACATTTACTGCTCAGAAATATTAATTAACTTTAATATCATTTGGTTTTGTCAAAATATTCTAATTTGCCATTGTGTAATGACACAAATGACAGAACTACTAACTAGCTGCGTATGGTATAGATCGAGGTAGCATAATTGGAGATGTACCTTGACAGATACCATCGACAATGGACACGTCGTCAATTGCAATGTCGCCTGTGAAGGAATTTCCCGTAATCCCTTCGAACGTAACCTAAATATGAGTAACAATGACACATAAGCAAAATACATCACTTGCGTCTTTACCTTTTAGGTTAAGTATTTCACATTTGTATTATTGTAACTTTATCGTGTTTTATTATTATTATTATTATTATTTTTTATAGGTCACGAGTATATAAAGTGTATTTAACTTTACAATCATATATAAAGAAATGCCCTGAGAAACTCGAATGTTTGATCTTTGAAATGATGTGGATTGAGAGCAAAAGATCAAAACTGAAAACGCATGTGGATTCCATTCGCGCGAAACTGCTGCCATGTCATCCTTGCTAATTTGTTTCCTCACATCCTAATTTATATGAGTATGCCTTATAAATATGCGTTTATTTTTAATTTATTCGTCTGAAATTGACAACATGAGGTCATCGAAACGTCATGTTGCTTTACTTTCGTAAATCTTCCTGCTCACAAATGTATAAACCATCAAAAATTATGTTAGCTGCCCTCAATAAAGAGGCCAACTTAAGGTGGCCGAACACAGTTTTCGCGCGCGCTTTTGCTGATTCAATTCAGCGCGCGCACAAGGACTGCAAGAAACAAACATGCCGTCAATAGAGCGATCATTTTATTTACTCAACACCCGCAGTATCTGTACTATTTTTCTCTATATTTAAACGCAGTGTATTGATGGCTTTAGTCTTTTATTACAAAGATATATTAGAAAAGGTAACGATGCAAAGAACCCAGCAATTCTCAGCTTTTTCTTTCC